CCTGGCGCTCGCTGACGATGCGTAGAGGCAGAGTGCGCGTGATTGGCTGAAAGATGATAGCTCCGGTGGAATGTGAGATGGGATGCCGTCCGCCGACATGAAAGCGAATTAATGCTGGAATGTTATCGAACTGATCTTTCTCAAACTGAAAGAGCTCCCGGGTGTAACCCTACACACACACACACACACACACACACACATCAGACTCAGCATCTGAAAGAAGCTATAAACGTTGAGACGGATGCCATACCTGTTTGGGTCGCAGCACGACACGTATGATTTTGAAGTGCATGGGCTGATTTTTCCACATGCAGCTCAGGACGTATTCGCCCGTGCTGGAGCTGGAGTCACGCACCAGAAACTCCCCGTCTCTACTCAACAACTGCTCCGCTCCCTGAACAGCCACAAATACATCAAAATATATCAATAAAAATTTGATTTAAACAAGTCAACAAATGAGTAAATTTATATAGCACATTTCATACAAAAAGGTCATTCAAAGTGCTTTACATTAAAATAATAGAAATCATAATAGATGCATAATAAATAAATATAGAGAATTAAAATGATTAAAAGTTAAGAATAAGAACAACCCAAAATAACCCATAACATTAAAACAAACAAAAATGAAATTTAAAGGGGTCATATGATGTTGCTAAAAAGAACATTATTTTGTGTATTTGGTGTAATGAAATGTGTTTATGTGGTTTAAAGTAAAAAAAACACATTATTTTCCACATACTGTACATTATTGTTTCTCCTCTATGCCCCGCCTTTCTGAAACGCGTCGATTTTTACAAAGCTCATCAGTCTGAAAAGCGAGGTGTGCTCTGATTGGCCAGCTATCCAGTGTGTTGTGATTGGCTGAATACCTCAAACGTGTGACAGAAATGTTACGCCCCTTACCATACTGTGATGATGCCCTGTCCGGCCGGAGCGTAACATAAAACCATATCTGCATTTGTGATCGGAGAAACGACAAACAACAAGCCCTACTCTACACTGCCCAAAACTCGTGTTTGAATCGTCAGTGGCAAATTCTTTAAATATGAAAACGTACTTACAGTCTGTGAGTCAGAACAGCCGGCATTGTAGTCTACTCTCCCAGGATCAGGAAACAGTCCTCCATAAAATGTGCTGCACACATCTGAATATTTGGGTTGAAGTGTTCTGGAACAGTGTTGTAAATACAACTTAACCACTGATTTCTAGTCGTGTCCTCTTTTGGAAGACCAAACAACGAAACTTGACGCCCCGCTTTTACAACGAAGCACAGCGTCACACACCGCGGCCTTGAGTGAGCAGAGGCCGGAGGCC